ATTATTATAACACAATAGGAAATAGATGTGCAGCATAATGCAACATGAACGTGTCTGTATCTATTTATATCAAGAGTATACCCTAGGGTTCATGTTAAACTTAAAATTACAAATATTGATGCCAAAAGACTTGGGTTTAGCTCAAAATAATATTTATGAAAATGGAAACCACTCAGGCTTCATTGTCACTTCATAATTAACTCCAGAGAAGGAATCTAATTACAAATGCTCAATGCTGCCCTATGGCAAAATATCTAAGAAAAGGGAAGTGGGATGACCAGGCTTAAACAACTCAGGTAAAAATTGACTTCATGGTAATATTTGATAATTAAGAATGTCTCTTTTAGCTTGTCTGGGTATTAATGAATTGGGCTGTTCTTTTCATGTTTGATTACTGGAGTTTTATGGCTGCCATTTCGCCCTTACTGCTCCTGGAGATGGGCTTGAGCTGCAGGAATGATGTTTGGGAGTTTCTTAATAGAGCCTTTGTGGGTGCCTGGCTGTGTGAGCAGCCTGCCTGCCTCCCTGCCCTCTGCAGAACTCAGCAGAGCCCCTGCCTGCCCCTCAGGCAGGTTTGGGGAGAGTTACGTTGATTTTGAGAGCCTCGAGTGAAGGGCTCTGCGGGAGCACCAGGACCAGCAGGTTCATTAGCCAGGGCCCTGCTGGGTGCCAGGGCTGGCTCTGGACACTCATCCTTCATGCTCAGGTGGTGGTGGGAGGCTGAGATGCTGGCAGGATGTGGCCAGGATGCCACCAGGATGTGGCTGAAATACCTCCAGGATGCTGGGCTGGGTGCTGGCTTGGCAGGGCCAGCATTGTCGTTCTGTGCCTGCCCGGAGAGGAGAAAGCATCTTCTTTGTTAGCACTCAGTTATGCTGAGCTTGGAGGAGAAGATATAAATGCTTAAAAGTTCTTTTTCTTGCCATGTTCAGCTTTCACAAAGGGAAGTGCTGAGATGATCTCAAGTCGGGGGGGAGTTGCTTTTGCATGAGATTCAGGCATTCTTTTGACGTTCATTTGATTTTTGCAGTGGGAACCTGCAATCTCTCTGAGCTCACCACAAAGGCACTGCCTCAGGCTGTACAGGAGTTTATAGACTAGGTCACGGACCTCATGCATATTTTATCTATGCTCTAATAGCATTTTAACCTTCGACAAGCACAGGTCAGAGTGCCAGAGCCCTGCCCAGGAGGGAAGAGGCTCAAGGGTAGTCACACAGAACAAATACCCCAAACAAATAGATCAAGCACCAGAAATGCTCAAATCCACTTTGGGAGAGAACTCAAAGGATTGCTCTGTGTGTGGTCTGGTCTTTTTGCCTACACAGGAGGATGTCCTGATGCTTCCAGCTATAAGCTCTGCTGGAAGCTCCTTGAAAAGGCTGGCAGCAAAAAAAATGGCCTTGGCCAGCAGCTCCTATTGTGCTCATGGTGGGAGTCACCTCTCTTGCTACAGGTGTAGAACAGAGAGCAGTGCTTCTGGAAGGTAAGTCACCTCATCTGAGCTCAATCACCTTCTGGAGATGCTGTAGTTCCCTGGCACAGGGGAAAAGAATTCCTCCTGCCAGGGCTCAGTGCATACTGGCATGGTGAGGCTGCAGGAAGTGTATCTTGGCTGAGCCCTGAAGATCAGGGATTCCTCTGCACTTCAAAAGGGGTTCAGCCCGCAGCTGGATCCCTGACCTGTCGGCAAAGCACTGACCTAGAAGAGAAGGAGACTTTCAACTGCCTGATTACCTACCCTGCAGCTCAGGGCTACAGATCACGTCCCCCTCAGTTGCCTCTCCTGGGATGAAGGTGCTGGTGGAGGCGATGGGAGAACCAAGGGCTGCAAATCCTCCCACCCCACGGGCCTGGTGGGACCCAGGGCTCTGCCCACAGCCAGGGCCACCCCTGCACACGTGTGTGCACATGTGCACACGCTCTCTGTGTGTTGGTGAAACGATCTTTTTAATTTTCTGGTTGGCTTGGCAAATCACAGCTGCTCCTTCCCCAGAGCTCCTGAGCACATTTGCACAGGTTCCCATTTCCAGGCAGCCAGGCTTCTCGTTTCCCTCCCGCCGCATGTTTCCCTGCTGAAGCATCT